TTACATAAGTAAATGTAGAAATTCAGATCTAGCCTATTTCATTGCAAACTGTATTTTTCAATTTCTTTAATTATGTATTTGATCTGTAATTTCTGCATTTAACCATTTATTTACACTTACATTCCACCACTGTGACAATGTTCTACATATAAACTACATATTTCATTTCGTGTAAAATGTCCAAGTCTCCATCTGTCGGTGAATCACTTGGTTTCTCTGGTGAAAGTGTAAATTAAAGCGTAATTAAAAAAAGACGGGGAATAAAAATATTGTTTTACATGTTAATTGTAAGTTAATCCAATTAAAAACCTAATTAATGAAACTTAAACTAACCTGATTAAATGAGTCCAATCAAACGAATGCGTTTCAGATCCTTCAAGAGGAGATCAGTTTGTTTTAATACCAGACGCTGGCGTCAACATCAGCAGCTTCAATAACAAGGTTCAGTCTCACTTTCCCCGACATGACGGCTCAACTGAAGCCAAAGCATCTGCATCGCCCCCTGGTGGCTGGCTGCAGTGTAAACCCCGCCTCCCCCGCGGCAGCGTCCTGATCCGTTTCATTTTTGATGATGTTTAAATAACGGCACCGTGAACCGTTTCACAACAGCTCAGGTCAACCTGCCGCAGAACGTTTATAGAAAGAGAAGAGTTAAAAATATCATTCATTTCAGAATCACAGCTGAGTTTTTAAAAAAAAAGCCTCTTAACGAATCAAGAGGAGAAAATAAATATCAAGTACTTTCATCGCTGGAGATGGAAAAACATTTTAATTAACACGAGGCCTTTACTGAGAATTCAATCACGTATGATTTCTCCAGTAATCAGGTTTGTGTAATCGAGGTGTTACATATTTGTACTTTAACACTTGAATCACCTGAAATGCTTCAAATAACAAACCATAGTCATTAAATGTACTTTATGTCGTCTCCTGGTCTGGTTGTGTGTTAACGTCACAGCTGTTCAGCCGCTGTCTCGCCTTCGTTCGCGACTTCTCACTTCGCAGACGCCGCTGACAGAGAACCGTTCTGCATCATTACTCATAACGGCCGGTCGTTCCATACGCGTGTCGCAGCGGACGGCCACTTCAGACCGCGAGTGAGCCTCCGCAACGGTAGCGCCGGCTGTCGGGGAGACAGACGGACAGAATAATGGGGTCAGCAGAAATTAGGCCGAATGTGAGAAACGAGTCCAGAGGCCAGAGATGTAAGATGTGATGCTGTTACTGCAACGCCAACCGATTTTCTGCAGAGGCCTTAAAAGCTCAGAGCGACAGCCGAAGTCTTCACAGTGACGGATCTGAGTCAATTACAGGGTTTGTCACGAGAAGAAAAAGAGAGCGATAGATTTTAACCAGAGCTTCTCTGTTCAACCATGAACAATCTTCATACCGAGGTTTAGAATTGGATAGAACCACATCTGTTCATCCAGACGAGGTTTAGCATTAGCTCGTCCTCTCTTGTGTCGACGTCACAGAAGCATGAATCTGGTGTTTGTTCGATGGCAACAGAGGCTGCAGCTGCTGAGGTGAATAAAAAGTCAAGTTGGTTAATGAGGTTCATCGTTTTCAGTCACATCAGCACCATCGGCTCTTCTTCATTATTCACACACAAACACAGAAGACGCCTTGTTCTTCTCGGAAAAAACCAAACTCCAGCAGCAACTTTCATTCACCTGTCCTCAAACCACGCCGCACTTGTCGTGGTTAATTTAATTATGCGGGTTAATCTTCCACTGCGACGCCTCCAGGAAGCTGCGGAGGTGTGACATGATTGACGCGTCTCCTCCTCCGGCTCAGCGGAGGGTGAGGTTGGATGAAAAGAGGGAGTTAAGGAGGTAGAGATGGTCGGTTGGGTAGATTATGGATGGACAGTGAGGCGGTCCACCTCTAACTGAAAGATCTGCTCGGGTTGTCATCCATCGGGAGCGTTTTCATTTTAAGAATAAGCTGGAATCCCCAGTCGGATGGCTGGCTTTCCGCCTGGCAGGGATTTCTGTCATTCCCAATGTAATTAGTGTGTAAGAGGAGCCAGGAGAGAGGCTGGAGCCAGGCTGAATAATACAGAGGGAGGTGTAGGAGCACAGATGGATAATTTAACACGGAGCTCCGGAAGCTTTGCAGTACCTGAGTGCACTGCAGAGAAACTGTGACATGTGGATATTCTCAGACAGACGGACATATTTCCATAATAATAAATCTTCCTCTTTTTCTCTTTGTTGTAGGCAAAGGGTTTATCTGCAGTGATTAATGTGCAGCTCCTGTCCGGGGCCCACACAGGGAATTATTATTCATGGCATTCATATGAAATGATAAGTGTTCTGATAACAGCCGTGCTGTTCTGTTTCTTTCTGCATGTTTCCATACAGATCATTTTCCGCAAGATCAGTGAGGTGAAGAAGGAGGAGGAGGAGCGGCAGCGGGCGAAGAACGAGGTGCAGCTCACCATCCCGCAGGACCATCCGGTGCGGAAGCTCTTCCAGAAGTTCAAGCAGCAGAAGGAGCTCCGCAGCCAGGGAGCGTCTGCCTCCTCGCAGCCGGACCTGGAGAAGAACCAGCTGCAGGTGGAGCAGCACCAGCACCTGCACCCCCACAGCCTGCAGCTCGGCCACTCCAGCCTGCAGCACTCTCTGCCGCTCAGCCTCCAGCGGCCCCCCTCCTCCATGCAGAACGGGGCCCCGCCCAGCAGCAGCGTGCTGACGGTGTCTCAGGTCACGCCCATGCAGAGCTCCCTGGCGTACAGCCATCCCGGGGAGCCGGCGGCCAAACAGAACAACTGTGACATCATGGAGCTGCAGCCCAGTGCTGCTGGAGGTGGAGCCGAACAGACCGTCAGGCTCAAAGTCGGCACCAGCCCTGTTCTGGCCAAACCGGCCCCCAAGGCCACCGGCTGGATGCGCCTGAAAAACAACATGGCCCCGGTGGAGGCCAGGAAGGAGGGGCTTAACAACAGCGTGAAGGCCGTTTCTGTGGAGATGTTGTCTCAGGAGGGCAAAGGTCAGGAAGCAAGGGGGGGTGGAGATGCAGAGGAGGGCGGGGTGTCCAGCAACAACCCGCTCCGCAAGACGGACTCCTGCGACAGTGGCATCACCAAGAGTGAGCTGCGGATCGACCGGGCGGGGGAGGCACGGACCCCGGCCGCGGTCACCCCCCTCCTCCACAGCCCTCTCCCTGGAGGAGTGGGCTCTCCTCACCCTTTCTGTCCCATCCCGGAGCAGGCCCTGCAGGCGGCGCTGCACGAGACCCGGCTGGAGCTCCGGGGGGACATCCAGACTCTGGGAGGCCGTCTGGGCGCCCTGGAGAGCCAGGTCGCCGAAATTATCAAGTTGTTGTCAGACAAGCGGCGGCCGTCCACGGGGCCGCCGCCCGCCTCCGCCACGCCTAAAACCAAAATACTACGTCAGGACATTTTCACCGTTTCCAGGCCTGTTTCTCCGGACTCGGAGAAGGATGAGGCGCTCTGAAGGGAGCTCAGCCAGTGGTGTAGAGAGCGCGGTGGAGTAACGGTGACCTCATGGCACGGCGTCCGATCACGATGATCGGTCCAGGGGTTAACGCTCGTCCAGCTCCCGTCAGATCCACTCACGCCACTGGTCTCAATTCTCTGAGACAATAAAACTGGCTTCTTCAACATTTGCACACGGACTTTTACCTCCCGGTCACGTGACAGTCGCCACGGTGACACGGACCTGGGTTTTTTTGATTGTACATACCTCTCTATGCATGTCCAGCTGGATTCTGGCCTGCCAAAGAAACGACTGAATCTTATTGCCTGTATATTATGCAGTTGACTGCATGCAAATCGAATTTAAAGAGACATTTTGTTGAGCTTCACTGTACATATGAATATTTTTCAATTTACCATGTGGATATTCAGGGTTTGCATACTGGTAGCACTAAACAGACGAGATGAGGAGAAGGGTTTACCGGCCGAGCGATGGTGCATGGATTATTTATGAGTAGAGAAGTGGACAGGGATGAAGGTTGTTGTTTTTTCTTTGCCTGTGGGATGAAGTTTGATTCTGCTCTCAGCTCTCCGCCCTCTGAGAACTCAGACGTGAAGAAGCAGAAGACCTCAGAACAGGGAGGGAGCTTTCTGCTTTGAGCTTAATCTTTTTTATATTGTTTGGTGATCTCGCTTCTTTATAATAATTTCTATTTTTGATTACGGAAATGTCCTTTCGGCCTCATTTTTATGTCCGGTGAACTCTTGAATGGTTTGAATCCTCCTCGTGTCTATGCATCGCTCGGGTACGCCGCTTAGAATTTCCAGAATATTACACCTTCGTTGTCCTGTCGGCGAATGAAGGAGGTTTTTGTGTTTTCCCTCCGTTCCTCTGCATGAATCAGGGATGGCAGAACGCACTTCTGGGTAAAGCTGGAATGACAGGAAGGCTTTGGAGAAATAACACAGAGTTTAGTTCACATTAGAGTCCACTCAGCACAGTGACATGTAGTCCCACGGCCCCGGCGCCACACGCAGAGTCGTAACCGCCGAGCGTCTCACCGGAGTCTGGGTTCCATCAGGAGCAGCAGCAAAGAGCTCCAGTAATAAAAAATGGAATACTCAGTTTTCTAAAGCTGCCGGCAAAGGAGTAGTTTTATGCTCCAGAGTGCGAACATGTATGTGTGTGTGTGTGCACGTGTGTGTATATATACACACACGTGCACACACACACACACACACACGTGCACAGTGATTCTTCATGTGAAACCCTGACGGAGATCAGAGCATCTTTTTGTCAGAAGTCGAGGTTTTTCAGGTCTCGTGAAATTCAGACGTGCGGTGCGGCAGCGCTCGTCACGCAATATACACGCATGCACACACACACACACACACACACACACACACACGGATGTACAGTAGACGTCATCAAAGTCTCAGTTGGTTTTATACACACACGTGACATCTCCAAAAGTGAAGCCAAACCGTCTTGATCGCCCCCTGGTGTCCAGCTGCAGTATAGGTTAAAAAAAAAACCGCCTCCTCCACGTTAGCAGATGGGACAAGGACCAAACTGAAAAGTGAAAAAAAAACACGATAAATAAATGTTTCTGTCATATGAGGCAGTTCTTATCACTCTGAGTTTCTAATCAGTTGTTGGATTCTGTATAAACAGAGTGAGACTGTCTCGTTACCGACTTCAAACATGGCGATGCGTCGGCCCGTCCCGCTCGCTCACGGTGTCTCGATATCGAACACCGTGCAGCCTGGTCAGAACCGGAAGCTGCGCATGGAACATAATAAATCAACGTCAGTGCATTGGAATTTGAATCATGGCAGCTGAGTTGACGATTCTTCAGTGAACATATTACATATTAACTCTCTCCACTGACGTTCCCACGTCTGTCCCCACTCTGGTCAGCCCCGCCCCTCCCCCCCTCTCCTGTCAGCAGACTGTAAAATGATGGAGGATTATTGAAGGAGTAATTTTAATTGCCGTGAGATGGCACCAGATGAACACGAGTTTAGACGCGAGCTCTCTGACGATTTATGCTAATCAGGTTTTGCTTTGGAGCATTTTGAAGAAAAAAAAACTGCTTCTGTTGTGCAAATGAGAACGTTTTGATCTGAAATGTGAATTTTCTCTCACGCCTCACAGTCACTGCTGAGAGTTCAGTGTTCGCTCTGCTGTCGGCCACTGAGCAGATCCCCTGCACGAGTCAGGGGTAAGTGCCTTGCCCAGGGGCACCTCAGCAGCAGTTACAGGCAGATTCGGGCCCCAGTGATCGATGCAGGGATGAATTCATTGGAAGGACTTTGATGACGGACACTCGTGCAGAGCAGCAGATTCTCCTCAACGTGTCACTTTTAACTAATGTCGTGCAAAAGCTATGCAACATGTGATTCTCTCACGGGGGAAATGAGGCTGATTTTAAAAGCTGCACCGGGATGAAAATAACATTTAAAATACTTTGTGTGTTTGAGGGATTGAGGGAGATGATGTGAGATGTAATTTATTTAACTGCTAAACTGACGCGTTGCTCAAAATCCAGATTAACGGATGAATTAATACTCACGACTTTGTGTTTTAATGAAATTATAAAACCAAGAATCAACAGATTGGAGCAGAAGAGATGAATACGATTAAAATTAAAACACAGAATTAAAAAACTGTAAAGTTGATATAATGTGTATTCTAGAGAAATTCAAATGTAGAACTAGAGCTGCTCCCGTCCTGAGGGGTCCTGACGAGACTTTGGAGTCAGGACCCCTCAGGAACTGACCTCTGCCCTGCCCCCGAGGGCCTCGGGCTGCGTTCAGGCTTGTTTGGGGTCAGAGATACAAACTCAATGATCTCTCCTCGATGTTAACAATGTGCACGTGGAGCCATCACAAACTGTTACAGACTGAAATATAACTTCTTGACTCGGTTAGAAAGAAACGTCTGCTTTCATTCTTAAAAATCAGTGATTTATTTATTTATCCTCTTGTAGAGTTTCACAGAACGATTCTTCACCTCCTACATTTCACTTCAGGTTTTAAACAGACGTTTGAGAGACGTCACTCTCTTGGTCTCAAATCTTCTCGATCACTGGCGCTGGAGGAGAAGTGGCTGCAGCCAAGATGTGAATGACTAAAGTAACTCCCAGAATGCACCAGACGCTAGAGGTGATGTTTCTCTCTGGACCTGAGCAGATTCCGAGATCGTATCACGACGGAGCTGAAGATGAAATCTCAGTAAAACAACTGGTTCGTTCTGTGATTCCTTTATTCGCTAAAGAAACTAAAGTACCACCTTAAAATAATGAGAGTAAAATCTCTCAAAGGAAAAACAAAGACGTTTTTTTTATATTCATCTTTATATTTGAGTTTACGCATTAAAACAATCTGTCGCAGTCGAATGAAGTCCTCGTCAAAAAACGACCTCATGCCACAGGTCGTGCACGTTGTCAGAACCTCAGACCAGCAAGAGATATATGATCTTTATTTTTACTATTTTACAAAAACTATATAAACCTGTTTAACAAAGATTTATTGAAAAAGTATATAAGGTGTCTGAGAAGTTAGATCAAGCTGGCAGAGTTTTGACTTCACGTTCGGCGGATGTCTAAAACTCTGCGGCAGTTTTTCTTCTGCTTCTTTTACAGTTTCGACGTCAGGTTGAGCTTCAACGTTTTGAGAAGGAACCTGAATAACCTGGAAATGTTAAAGTTTTCAAATAAATCCCACGATGTCATGTTCCAGCAGCAGCACTGACGTGTACCACCGGAGTAATGTGCAATTAACACATTTATCAATTTCAAAAAAACTAATAGAAGTCAGTCAATTAGAAAATCAATAATTGTAATAAAATATAAATCTGAAGTTTTGAAATGTAAAGTTTCCATTTCCTTTTAAATTACTTCAACTTATCTCTTCCTGTAATAATTGCAGTTTCTCTTTTGCTTTAACTGAAACCACAGAGCAACATCTGGAGCTGTGACTGTTCCAGATGTTGTGTCATCTGTTGAATCATTATATTTTGGTCTTGTTGACCTAATAAATGAAAGTCTCTTTATTCCAGCGGTGCTCTCCGGGCTCCGCACGTCACCACACATCCGTCGCGGTGGGAACCATGGGGCCGTTGTTTGTGGAGCAAGTTCAAACTTTTTCAGGATTTCAGATTTCTCCTCAGATTTGCAGTGAGATGATTTTATTGTTTGTTGTTTGAAGAAGCTCAGAATCCTGCGACGCCTTCGAACCATCGCCAGATGTTCCAGAGTTTCCCCGTCGCTGAACCTTCACTCGTTATTAAGTTGACAAGAGAATGAAGATCAACACACACACACACACACACACACACACACACACACAGCTTTGCTACTTGAATGTAAAACAACCCCCCCGACCCCTCACGCCCCTCACATCTTTGTCAAAGGGAGCGGTGGGTGTTTTCTTCTTCTTCTTCTTCTCCTTTTTCTTTCTTCCCCTTCGCTCACTCTCTATCTCCAGCTTTTCAAACACCTCCTCCTCCATCTGCCCCCCCCCCTCCCTCCCCCTGTATCCTCTCTCCTCCTCAGCATGCCGGTGATGTACAGTCTGACTGACACCATGAATCCTCCTCTCACGGGGGAGGTGGGGGGGGGGGGGGGGGGGGGGGCACGGCCCGAGGGGCTCCATTTATTGAAATTATCCTCTGGCTCGATTCGATTCCACAAATTGTATCGAGGATGACACGACAAGAGATGGAAGTCGTTTCCTGGGTAGTGATTTTTTTTTCTTTTCTTTATTGTTTCACTCATCTCAGCAAATGGAGGCGACCTGCAGAATTTTCTCAGCGGGATCAGTTTCCAGCCTCAGATCAGGTCATCAGACTCTGGATGGTTTTAATGAACGAGCCCCTTTAGGAAAAGCTTTTCTCTCTTTTCTACTGGAATGTTTCTACTGTTTTTGTTAAAGCGATGGTTCGGAGCAGCACTGAAGTCCCACACTGACTCATGTATTGTTTTACAGTTGCACACCTAAGCTGTAGTGTCAGAAAAATAAACAGCCGTCTGGGATACTCTCTCTGGGCTTCCTGTCCGTCTTTGTCCGTTTTTTAGAAACGTCGTCCTCTGCACTCTGTTTCCTAAAAGGAGCAGTAAGTAATCAATCAGCTGGATTGATCTGTATCGGCCGCCGGCAGGAGGTGGTCCCAGTTTAAATCCACAGAATCCCTTTCAGGTTCTTTGACAGAAGAACCTTCTTGTCCAGATGTTCTCATCTCTGTCCAGGGGACGTGGTCCTCTGAGGGACGTGGCCCCTGAATTCAGACACAGCTTCAGAGTGTTGGAGCCACTGCTGTGATTTCTGTAACTTCAGCTTCCACTTTGTTTTTTTTATTAGAATCACTTCAGCTCTTTCTCTGCATCCAGTAATGTGTCCATGATGTGAGAGAGGCTCTGAACCTCCGCTCACCGTCAGTCTGCAGAATCCTCCTGACGCTGAGTCAAAGGAAACAAAGGAGGAGGAACCGCTCTGTCAAACTCCACCCATGGCTCCGACTGGACGCATGAAGCCTCGGCAGTCAAATCTGAAACTCATTTTGAGATGGAGAACGTGCTTATCCCCATTAGCACCTCCTCACCGGATAGAGGAGGAGGAGACGCACTTCTTCTTTTACCCAAACTGACACCTGTCAGCGGAGGGTTCTCCAGCAGATTCTCTTGGAAAATATATTTTAATTGCTCCTGGTGAAAAGTGTGAAATTCTCTCTAGCACAACTTGAGGCTCAGAGTTTCTTCTTTTAGTGTCAATCGTGAGACATCGTCTGGATGAATTAAAAACCTTTCATTGCTTTTTATCAAACTCGAACAATGTTACAACTTTCATTGGAAATATCTTCAAAAATTCCCGTTGCTTTGGGTAAAATATCTGAATTTGAGAGAATTTAATGTCAGAAGTTATCCAAATATTAGAAAACTGTTTCTAAACCTGTTTCTAATATTTTTTATTGACTGCAGAGAAGCTGAGAATTAAAAATATGCTGCTCACAGTCACTCTACAGATTTATTTCTCTTCAGGGAGACAAAATAAAAAAAGATTTCTCCAAAGAGGAAGCGAGATGCAGAAAAAATCAACAGGAAAAGTTTCTGTGATTCTTTTATTGATCCGTCGTCCGTGACAGGAAATGTGCAGATGCTTTCCTGCGTCCTCGGGCGGACAGAGGTCACACTCCAAAACCTGTTCCAGAATCCAGAGGTACCTGAACGCAGCACGTCTGAAGGTGAGTTCATGCCCTCGTCATCCTCATGTCAGAACTTTGAGCTTCCTGTTTGTAATCTCTGTTTTGTTTCCGTCCCGCAGCACAAAGTTCCTCCGTCAGGACTCGAGGTGAGATCTGTGAAACTCTTTCTGTTTCCGGAGCCAGAAAAACGCTCATTAATATTCTACAGCGCTCACATCAAAAATGTAAAAACAAAAAACAAGTTGTTTATTCACCATGACACGGGAACGTCAGAGCAGGGTCCCAACATCAATATACCAATATATATATTTATATACATATATTTATATATAGTTGAAATGTTCTGACCTGCACAGTTTGAATAATGTGTGTTAAAGTTTTATTTATTTAGAAAACAGCCGGTGGTGTCGTGACCTTATTTAAATTACAGCTGAGAAGCACGTGCACGTGTTGCCTGAGATAAACCAGTGACCTTTAATTTACAGACATTAGATCTCATAAATCCATCTTGTAAAATATTCACATCTTAGTTCCGCTGCTCGACCAGACACAGAACAAAGTCTTTACTGTGTTATTCTGTTTGTGCGAACGGACGTGTTGTTGTCAGGAGGTTCGAACCCTGCACAGTGTCTCTGTGCAGATAGAACACATTCTCTGGTTTGAATGGTTTGATTATGTAATAACACGCTGTCAGTTGAGTGGCAGTGCTGTGACCCCTCCCCCGCCACCTCACGGTTCTGTGTCAGTGGTATTTAAGGCTGATTCGCTGCCGGACTCGGACCAGTGGGCGATCTGTTCTGCAGCAGCTCGGGGCGATGGTGAGGGAAAGTATTGTAAAAGTATTCGTAGCCGTATATTAAAAACTGTCACCGCCCCCCCCCACCTCTGATTGATTCAGTTTCTCTGCTGCACATTTATTTCCTTTATCAAATCAGCAGTTTATCACTGAACAAAATGTTTTTTTTACTCTCCGTGGTGTGTTCATGGAACCGTTTCGTATCCTCAACAATAAAGACGATTTAAAATAAAGCAAAGAAAAGGTTTCTTAGAATGTAAAACACATTTTTGGACCTTTTTCCAAAAAAACGACGTAATATTCCGTCCCATGATTCCACGTGTCTGGACAGAATCATCTACCGGCAGAAGTGAGTCCATCAATTAGCCGTCTCCTCTCTAGAGGTAATGAAAGTGATAATGATCGACAGTCGGATACGTCCTCGGAGATATCGCCATCCTCTCTCTCTCTCTCTCTCTCTCTCTCTCTCTCTCTCTCGCTCAATGCTTCGTCATCCTCAGATTCTCTTCACCGACCTCACGTCTCTGCAGGAGCAGCTGTATAATTCATAACGTCAGCCGGTACCTGTCAGGCCCTTTCAGACGCAGCGGAGGGGAAGTTCCCCCTAAAGGCTCGACTGTGAAGTCGGCTCAATCCAAACCTGCCGCTCGTCAGTGAGAGGAAGTGAGAGACCGACTCATAATTCAGAATTAAATTATTTCAGTTATATTCAGATTTATTTTAATTATGTATGAGGTCAAATGCCGGTTTGCATTAGAGGTTTTTAATTTCACAACCTGACATGTGGTCTGATGTTCAAACACCACGAGCAGTTTTTACTTTTGCATTTTGATCGTCAAGTTTTCTTTTTTTTTTGTAAATCTTAGTGTTTCAATCATCGAGCAGACCAAAGATTCTCGATTTTAAAAAATGTTCTGGTCATGTGACTTCTTGGCCGCTGCAGTTTGAGTCACGCATAAAAAAAAAATCTACTTCCTCCCACGATTAAAACCAAACTTCGCTGATTAGACAACAAGCGATGAGAACAAGCTCAAATGACAGAAACCATGTTTGACGTGTATTTTGACTCTGTGGTCCACGTCCCATCCACTAACATGGAGTACGTGGGTATTTTCCCTCCAGCTGAAGTTTCTTTCAGCGCTGGTTTGATTTCTTCTCCTCCACCCGTTGAAACTGTGTGTGGTGCTTCGGGCCCCTCTAGTTGTTCCTGGTTGTTCGTTCAGATCAGGTTCGTCGATACCAGAACCTCCCTCCACGTCGATAGGATTGTTTTTTTGTTCCAAATCCAAGCATTTCCCAGCATGCATCAGGCATATTTCCCAGCAATCCATGCGACCCCTGAACAACCTGTAAAAAAAACAAAAGATCATTTCACCCTGAACAAAACGTCTGACATGAGTCACCGTGTCTCCCTCTGAGCTCAGGAGGACGCAGACCTCAGGCGAGGAACCTCTGTTGATGGTTTCATGGTCTCCTCCTCCTCCTCCTCCCTCCCTCCCTCCCTCCCTGGTCCCCCCCACCGCCACCTCCCCTACAGCCAGGGGAGGAAGTGGTAATGTCAGGAACGATTAGGACAGCGGGGGTCATCGCTGCGACTCTCCTGTCAGGATGGTTGTGGATAACAGAGGTCTCTGGAGAGCAGCTCAGATAACCTCCTCTCTGTTGCTGCTTTTAACCTCCACCTCCTCTTCAAGCCCAAAAGCCTCTTTGACGCTGACGCAGACAGATGTTTGTTTACCTCCGCTGGACGAGTCCGTGGCCACAGGGAAAGAGGTTCCGAGCACCCAGATGTTTTAGAAAGTGGCCGCTGAATGAATGAATGTGTTGCTGACGTGAGGGTTTCTGCTCCAGATGTTCATTTAAAATACACAGTCTCCCGAACACGAGTCTCAATTCTGTCGTGATGAAACGTGGGATATGATGTTGACTTGAGGATCCAGGTTATAACCAGGATTCTACTTTGAGCTTTAACTCGTCCTCCACCTCTTAGCTCATTAAACCTGACGCCACAGTTGTGGATGAAGAAGTGACCTCAGTTAAAAAAACCTGTTCTTCGACCCTCTGGTGTTATTGACGTCTGGAAATCAGAGTCCAGATCTGCCTCCTGAAGATGGATCAATATAATATACAGATTATCTTTGCACTAATTGATTCATGTCGGTGTGTTCTTGCTCAGACTCATTAGAGGACGTCATGGTTAAAGAGACGTCAGGAGACGTCCTGATTCTCGTTTCAACGGAGAATTTATTTAAAGAAATATATTTTTAAATATTCCACCTTTAAAAACAAAGTTCTTTGAATGTTACTGATGTGAAAAGAGTAAAAATAGAAAGTGAATTATTCTAAAACAGTTCGGAGCTGAGTCACAGATGAGACGCAGTCGTGCAGGTTTGTGTTCTGATCAGTTTCTCTGCAGCGCCTCTGTGACATGTGACCGCTCAGGCTTTATATAAACTCCGCTCTCCTCTGGAATCAAATTAATAATAAAGACTGATTTTTTATTTTTTTTTCTCTAACGACAAACCAGCAGGAAGTTTGGCCCCAGAGCTCAGGTCAGTTAATTAAGCTCTAACGAGCGGCTGCATCATTATCCACCCATCAGACACTGATTATTCTTTGAAAGGCCAATTATTAATTACAGCAATCACACACTTTCAAAGTTTGTACAGATTTAAAAACAAACGGACATTAGTCACTTTTAAATCCACAGGAGCAAAAAGCAGAATATTGATTTTATTTTATATCAAAGTAATTTACAGAGATAACAATACAAGATAATATTGAGCCCGTTTTATATAAAACCAATAAAACCAGAAACATCAGTGTGATTAAAAAACGACCTGAAATGACAAGAAACATTTATTTGTCCATGTCCCGTCCGCCAACATGGAGGAGTCTGTGGTTCAGACAAAGGTTATGCACTCGGTGGTGCTGGTCACACACACCCCACAGTGGCACCTCAGGGCCACAGGGTAGGTGTAGGACGGGTCCACGTTGGACTGACAGTTCGGCAGCTTCACGGTGACCAGGCGGGTCTCGTTGTACGTGCACACCCGCTGATGGGACTCGATGTAGGGGGGGTCCACGACGGGCTTCTGGAAACACAAACACAAACGTGTCAGGAAAAAAAACAACAGGCTGAACAAAAAAACATGCTTTCAAAAGGTTCTATGAATGTTTCATGAGGACGGAAATGCATTTAACGTGTCGGAACATGCTGCGTCGTGTTTAATTGATTTGACTCGTCCGTGCTGAAGCGATACGATCGTTCTGATCCGACTCTCGGCACAAAAGCAAACGAGTGGATTTCCCAAAACGTGGAATTTTTCTTTATTAACGACAGAAACAAACGCAAAAAACCTGAGATTCAGTAAATAACATACAAAAGATTTAATTAACATGTTTTTAATGATGTGTTTCTTTCTTTAAAATGTAAAATTTGCTCATTTGAACCCGTCAGTGTTTGTATCAGCAGCGTGTTTTTCAGTTTGTGTGGATGAACTGATGTTTGTGTGTCCACCGTGCTCTGAACTCACAGTGCACGTGAAGGAAACTGCATTAAACATGCACCGACATGTTTAATGCAGTTTCCACCTCATGAAACATTTGCAGAACCTTTTTAAAAAAAAAATGCTCACGAATCTATTTTGTTCAGTTCACTGTTTTTTTTTTTTTTTTTCAGCAGAAACTTCACTAAAACAAAAATAATGGAGAAAATATGCATCACGTCACGTTTACGCTTGTATGGTTCGTGTGTGTGCAGGTGGGACGGACGTTAAATAGCAACATCGGCCTGCTTCTAAAAATAAGTGCACCTACAGCGCCACCACTGGTCAGACACTGATCCACCTCTTTGGATTCCCGGTGTTCCGGGAATTTCCTCTCATCCTGCTGCTGCCGGTAATTAAAACTCTGACGAGGTAATAACAGGAGGTGAGAATATAAAAATCCTGGATAGTTGCATTTAGACACGGCCACCTTGTGACCTGATGTTCACGGGTTTGACCCCCGACCCCTCGGAGTGTCTGTCCTGAAGCGAGAGACACCCACTCCCTGCGCCGCCTCTCCGACCTCTGCGTGGGGGAGGGGAACAGACGAAAAGATGAGTCTGCCCCCTGAGGAGGTCCAGAGTATCACACAGGCACACACACACACACACACACAC